ACATAAAAGTCAGGTAGCATTCTGCAAGGAACTTCAACTAACAAAACTTTCTAAAACTTTAGGTCTTCAAACATGCAATTAGCTGGGTGGGAACAGCTTTCCCATTTTAGTTAAAGGTCATTGGTTTTGCAAGCTTTCATATTCTCTCTCAGGATGACCTCACAACCTTTTAGGGTTGAGTATGGACTGAGGAGAGAGTGAGTGAGTGAGCGAGCGAGCGAGCGCAAGAGCATGAGAGAGCACGAGCATGAGAGCGAGCATGAGAGCAAGAGTGAGAGAGTGAGCAAGCCAGGAGTAGCCAAGAGCTCCAGGGTTTGGGCACTCAGCTGGCATGTAAGACATTGAGGCTCAGGTCTCTGTTCTGAACAGGCTCTGGGTAGGCTCTCTCAACCTGGCCTTTTGGAGGTGTTCTTCTGTGTATCAGTTACACATTATATTAATTAGACATCATAATAATTAGACAACTTTTCTCTACAAATCATTAATTATTACTGGAAACAGGGATTTGAACCTTGGTGCCTTCCCATTCCAGTTGAGTGCCATAACAAATGGGCTACAAAGTCAGTGCCTCACTCCCATTTTCTCCAAAAGAAAATCTGACAAGAGAGAAAAAGCGAAGCCTATGTTTACAGTAACTACCACATTTACTTGAATCCAAGACAAGCCCTGCTCACCCCTCCCCAAATCAGTGTTGGGGGGAAACAGAACAAACAAATCTCATTTCAAATTCAATTTTGCAGTAATTTGCAAATTTTACCAGCAATATGATTTTATATTTTCTTCCAACTCATTAATATATTGATTAACACCAGACAAAGAACAGAACTGAACTGTGAGAGATCCCGGTTGAAGTAATATCTACACAATGATGATTCCCTTTTTACAATTAACTTTTGAGATGCAGTTAGCTAGTTTTTAACCCAGTAAAAAAATGGGCTACACAGAGTTTATATAGCACTTTTATTTAAAAATAAATAAAATAAATAAAAATCAAAATGTCATGCTTGATTAAAATCAAATGCCTCACAAGTCTAAGAGTATTGTGTCACAGTAACTTTATCAAATTTAGGATCTGACCTCATCCCCTCACCCCCATATCTATAGCCATATCACAAAAATAGGACTGCAAGGGACCTCAGGAGGTCATCTGGTTCAACTACCTACTCATGGCAGGACCATGCCTATTGAAACCACAAGTATGAGAGTCTAACTTGTTCCTAAGCATTTCAGGAACAACCCTCATACACAACTGCCAGGCATAATGCCTGAAATAACACCATCCTTTAAAGTTGCCACAGGTAATGTAGGGGGATGAGAGTACTGCCAACATACCCAAACATTTCATTTGACCAAAATCAGATATTTTTCATTTTAATTTTCACCTTTCTTTTATTTTTTTTTTTTAATAAAAGGCAAAGGCTGAATTCACCTTGGAAAGTAGATTCACCATTTACAAAAACAAGGGGCAGCACTAGGTTCCTCCCCCACCAGTGTTGGGGACCTTGATCAAAATCCCCTCTCTGCCTGATTCAGTAATTAGGTTTATACTAACCCCCATCTTAAAAAGTAATCTAGCCACCAGAAGAGGTGCTTGCTTTTACACATTTTCATTCTGGCCCAGTGAATATGAAAACTGCTCTACTTTACAAACCAGGAGGCACTGAATGTGCCCAGCTCCAGGATACCCTACAACTCAGTGGGCAGGGCACTTTTCTGAGAGGCAGGAGTTGTGTTTAAATCCCTGCTCCAAGTCAGGCAGTGAAGAGACTTGAGCTTTGGTATCCCACACCTGATGACAATGCCCCAGCCAGCGGGTATAAGATTCGGGTAAGAGTATTTGCAAGTAGTATGTAAACCTTACATGAATGGAGCCCCTGGATGGATCTAGGATTTTGAAAAAGGTGGGTGCACATGATGAGTGCATCCTCCCATATAGTGCAACAAATTTTTCTCCAGGTAAAAAGAAACCAGAAGCTTCACTAATACACTAAGAGCCTATGGTTACATTATTCAATTTAACATTGGAATGTTAAATATAACAATATAACTTCATTGAAATAAGTTAAAACCAGTCAGTAGGACAGTAAAATAGCAGTTATGTTAATGGGAGCAGCTAACAGACAGCAGAACTGCAGAAGAAAAAGTCTGGCTTGATTAGTGGAACATCAAGACCATTTAAAAGGAAAAAAAGGTCATTAACATCTGTGGAATGAAGGGAATATAGAAGGGATCAGGTAAATTTTAAATGAGTCATAAATTTGACACTCTTGCTGATGCCTGAACAGAAATGCTGCTGCCGCTGATATGCGGCTAGTTTTAAATTTTGGGTAGAGCAGGAATCAAAGGATGGGTACAACTCTGCCAGTGCACTTCCCCCACCCACTCCCCTATCCACCCCTGATCAAGCCTAATGAATTGAAATAGTTTGTTTTGGAAATGCTAAAATTAATCATAACAGTATTTCCAAATTATTTAGCTAAAGCTAGCTGCTAAATTCAGCCCCAAATTTGCAAATTCTGGTTCAGGGCAACAAAAACTTAATTTTTTGGTAAATGAACTGTTTGAAGAACAAGTTGGCCCTGCTCAAATAAGTCCCATTTTCTCTAAACCCTTACTGATAGACGTGAGTTACCATGCACACCTACTGATCCATTTCCAGAATCGGATGCCCTAACAGAACTAAATGTGAGATTCTCAGAAGTGTCTAGATGGCTTTCAGTGGGTCTCTGTATTCCAGTTTCACTCAGGGCTTTTGAGAAATCCTATCCTTATTTGCCTGTCCTCCCAGCCAGAAGGAACCAGCTCAAAGTGTGGGATTCAAGCAATTCTAGGGGGGGGGGGGGGGGGGGCGA